AACCTGTTTGACCTGGCCCCTGCAGGTGATGTGTACTTGTGCTAAGCCTGTTTGACCGGCCCTGGCAGGTGACGTGTGTGGCTACCCTGTTTGACCTGGGCCACTGCAGGTGAGTGATGGTGCTACACATGATTATTGACCTTGCCCTGCAGCGTGCAGTGTGTGCTACCCTGTTTGACCCGTGGCTAGCTGAGCAGGATGTTCTCCTCAGCCCTGCAGGTTCATGGCCTCCCAGGTGCAGTGTTGCGTGTGATCTGCAATCTGCCCTGCAGTATCTTGCCTGCTTGTCCTGGCAGAAAGGAGGACCCCCGCTTGCAGCCCTCTCCACAACCCATGAGAGGCAGAGATACCTTCCCCTACCCGCTCCGACAGCTCGATACCCTTTCAGTGACACACAACAACACACAGCATGACACCACACACACAGCGCACACCACTTTTAGAACATTGTGGCCTGTTATGGTCGCCCTCAACAAGTACCCTAAAAGAAATTATGTTGTTTTTAATCTCCATTCGTGTGGTGCATTGGATGCTGTGCTGTGTCTCCCCATGAGCAAAATTCATAGGCCTGGTTTCCAATGGGGGACCTCACAGCTGTGATGCTTCAACCGAGAGCAGATTTTCCATGGCATTCCCCCCAATCCCCCTTTCCCCCTCCCCCCAAAATAAATTTACTCCTCGTCTACACCCACCCCATTTCCCCCTAAAATAATCATCAGATGGGGTGGTCCAGGCGAAACGGATAATGTGATTGAGTGGGTGGGTTTTGTGCTCAATAACAGGGGACCGGGGGGGGTCGTTTCTCGTGTAGTTTACTGGAAACTAAGGAGTCAAGGAGACCCTGTATGCTGCACTGTACATATTAAACGATGCTGACTGCTTTCTATTCTAGTTGACACATTTACTATTTCCTATTTATTCCTCCACGGTGGGATAGAGAAACATATTGATCAAATCTGGTAACTGTGGAAACTGCTTCCTGCCAAAGTTTGATGGTGTGTTTGATGGAATATTCAAACCCCCCATCCTAAGGAACGCCAAAAAGGCCCTAGGATAGTACCGCTGCACAGCCTCCAACCAATGGACATCACAAAAACATCAAGAGACCAAACATGGAACAGCATCTTCAACCTTTATCTTGTGCAGCAAGGAGCAGCTGGAGCCATTGCTGACCGAAAGAACAACCTGTCCAAAATCCCCATACAAACGCTCCATGGAAGCCAGCCTCAATTTCAGGAAGCTATTTGGAAACGCAGCTAAAGGTCCTAACCCACTGAGGGCCTCACAAAGAGGACGGACACGGAACGTTGAAGACGTTCGTCTTTTTCTTAACGGGCCAGACGAAGCACTCTTTTACAGCGACTAGGAAACACGAAAACCACACAGAGTGGTACGGTGCCGGAACACTGTTCACGCAAAGTCCCCTCAATGCTTTGAAGCTAAAGGTGCGCGAGACAAAGGATGCTGTCCTTGTTACCTGGAATGCCCTTGGAGACCGGAAGGCATTATGGAAAGCTCATACACTTGCAAGGAGGGGCACTAAAAAAACTTCACCCCAAAGGACCCCCATGAATCACAAGATGCCCGAAAGGATCCTACGGGTCTCCCAATCTGAAGAATCCCCCTGAAAGGATTCTAGAGGCCAGCAACCCAAGGATCTCTGGATGCCCAACCTCCATCTAAGGAGCATTGAAAACACACTGATTGACTCTCATATATCACTGGATTAAAAATTACCCCATCAAGCTTCCAATATGCAGCTAGAAATTATTTGGAAATGCAGCAAAAAAAACTCATCAAGAACCATTGGAAGCTTCCTGAGGGATTCCCGTCCAATAGAAACTTCCCCCATCTGGGCAGTCAATATGATTCAGAGAGGCAGCAGAGATCCCTAAAAGAAACCTGGAACCTATAAAAAAAGACCTATTTGGAAATCCCAGCAATCTGCCGTGGAACCGGTGGACAGGACGTTCCAAAGGACACAATGGTGACGCTCACGTAGAGAGCTTCTTATATGTCATGAAAAAAAAAAAAAAATGTCCGCCTTCCATATGGCGCCATGTGTAGCAATGTCAGACATATTGGGTCATATGGCAGCTCCCTTAAGGTCCTTGGATGCCCACTTAAGAACGCAACCTTGAAGTAAGTGAACAATTAAACAATATTAAATCTAATCCCTGAGACAATCTCTGGAAACCCCTTATCATTAAGTATCCCGGAAGCAGCAGGCAGACGGTATATACATGAACAACACAATCCCTATAGAGGACCACTAGATAACCCCCACCTCAAAGACCCCCAGAATGCACAAAAGATCCTGGAAGTCTCTCAAGGTAAACCAAGATAATTACTGGGATCCCTTCAAGGACCAATTTCAACGCCTTATGGAAAAACACTTCCAAGTGACCACCTTGAAAACCTTGTAACTCCTTCGGAAAAACCAGCGGCCTTTTTCAGGGACCCACTTTCAATTAACCTCTAACCAACCCCTTAATATGGACTTACTCCCATTGAAGGACCCACCAACAAGCTCTATTAAAACGCCAGCAAATCCAATAAAACAAGCTCCCTGGAAGCTCAATGTAGATTCATGTAGCCCCCTAGTTCGCCACTCCCCCTGTGGTGTACCCATGGTAATCAAATCCAGAGTTCCTTTCTTTTCCCGTCCTACTATACTACAGCACTAGCGCCATTATGATTCTATCAATTTCTGAAAAAAATAAGTGTGTATTATTTGCAAATATCACATATAACAATATGGCAGGATGAAGTGCGCCTAGCTCTAATGTTTCTGTTCATCCTGATGACCCCGTCCAGGCCCGTGTTGAAGTGACACAACACTTGGGAGTTAATTTCTTTCATGATCAGACAAATGGGAAAAGGGTGGCGGCGAATGTAATCATATCTTAGCTAATCAATAGGCCAGCCAACCATAATCATCCACAGCAGTAGTATGTAATATAGGTAATTAAACACAGCCATTAGTAGAAGTCCAACTGGGCAGCACCAACAGCCCACAAGCTGTGAATCTTACCTGATGCCTGGACGCCTCAAGTTCATGTAATTTTGCTGAAGGTTCGTTTGAGCTTGTTGGATGGACCTTTAATACGTAAACAGATTCATATTGCTCATAGCCAGCTGCGTAAGATCCAATGTGCGCTGAGAGTAGTTATTCAAATCAATCAAATCAATATCCAAAATCCAATCAATCAATCAATCAAATCAAAGTCTTCCCATAAAGAGACCTGGTTTATTCAATTAAATTATGTGGGCTTATAACGAGACCCAGAGGGATTATGATTCCTCTTTTGCACTAGTGTTTTAGTCCTGATGGAGCGCTGTTTTGGTGCTAGCGTTCTAGCACCGACACACTCACCTGCAGGGCCAGGTAACATCCAGGCACTGCTGCTGCTACAGGGACTGACCTGTCTGTCTGTGTCCACCTGTCTGTGTCGTAGGTGCTGGGTTGGATCTCGGAGGGGGAGGTCATGTTGTCGTCCTGCATGTTGAACTCCAGCTGTTTATCTGAAGCTGAGCAGCTGCAGAGGGAGCACGAGCGCCTCCAGCAGGCCATAGAGGTGACTGCACACACACACAAAAACACACACTAACACAAAAGTGTTTTCGGGCTGTAAGTTAAACCCAAAGTAATTCAGTTCAATTCAGTTTACTATCCTAGAGGACTAAGAACACAGAAAATATTCTTGACTTAAAAAAAAAGAAAATGATTAATTTATTCAATTCATTGACAGCTACATTTTGAGATCTTGTTCGAAAAAAGGAAGATGAAAAAAAGAAATCAATGACCTCCTGTAGAGAGATGTAAAGGTTACCACGGCGACAGGACACCGATGAGGAGTTTATAACTCCTGCTGATTAACGTGAATGAATGTCTGTCCACTCTCTCGCTCTCCAGGCTCTGCTCCACGCGGACTCCCTGCAGAGGACCCATCAGGTGGCTCTGGCTCTGCAGCAGAGAGCGGAGCTGCTGGTCAGGTTAGTGAGCACTGCACCGATTCATTCATCAACATCTGGTTGCACCTGCTCTTTGAAAACACATTGTTATGACTCAGCACTAATGTAAAAGCAGGATTTTACTGTTAGTTATTGTTGTCTTTATGCTAAGCTAGGCTAACCGCGCCCTGACTCTGTAAAACAAACAAGTGTATTTCTCAAAATGTTCATTATTCATTTAACAGTAGCTTAGTTAAGGGCTAATAATCAGATAATAATAAGAGTTCCTTAGCACCTGTTTAACCTGTATTAACACTGCCCCAATCATATGAACTCTGACCTCTGACCTTGCTCCCTCAGGTCAGGTCACTATGATCCAGATGCAGTGAGGTCTTGTGCCCAGACGGTGGCGCTGCACTGGCAGACTCTGATGCTGAGGATTGAAGACAGACTCAAACTGGTCAATGCCTCCGCAGCCTTCTACAGGACATCCCAGCAGGTAGTGCTGTCTGTCTGTCTGTCTGTCCGCTCTCTACCTGTCTGCCTACCTACCTGTCTGACTCGCTCTCTCTCCAGGTGTGCGGGGTGCTGGAGAGCCTGGAGCAGGAGTACCGCAGGGAGGAGGACTGGTGCGGAGGTGGAGACAGGCAGCCGGAGCAACTCATGCCGCTCATCAACAAACACATGGAGCAGAAGGAGGCGTTCCTGAAGGTGAGGAGACCGGGAGAAAGTCTTAAACCCTGTCCCAGAGGGGTCCAATCACAGGGGGTGGTTTCTTTCAACATTTTATAAAACCAAAAACAAAAGAGCAAAAGTGAAATGAAATGATTAAACAGTATATGTCAAATACTTTGAGGTGTCTAATAATTTTTAATGATCTTGTTCAGTTCATATTGTTTGATTGTATTTAGTAGTCTCGGATTGTCTTTGACAGTCCTGAACTGTATAAATATAACCAATAATTCCATTAAAATCAATATTTCGGTGTAATATGATATGGTTCCTAACAGTCTCGTTTCCATGGTGACAGGCCTGCACGCTGGCCAGAAGAAACGCTGAAGTTTTCCTCAAGTACATCCACCGCAACAGCGTCACCATGGCGAACATCTCGGGCCACAGCGTCACCGTGTCCGGGGTAACGGGCGTCACCGAGGTCACCGGGCACTCCAGGGTACCGGAACAGCAGGTCAAAGGTGAGTACAGTACAGTGGGGCCAGTACAGAGCCCTGAGGAACTCCGCTGCTCATTGGTAGTTATTTATTGCTGCACAGTGTTCATTTTACTGATCCAGGTGTGTCTTTGTGTGCAGGTATCCTCAGTGAGCTGCTCCAGAGGGAAAACCGAGTTCTTCATTTCTGGACTCTGAAGAAACGTAGACTGGATCAGTGCCAGCAGTACCTGATGTTCCAGAGCCACGCCCAGCAGGTAGACCGCCCCGCCACTAAACTTCATTACAGGGACAGGTTTTTTTGAATATTTATTTATTTGTATTTTTGTTGAACAGAACAACATTAATGTGTCTTTTTGTTGCAGGCTCTGGATTGGCTGCAGCAGTCAGGTGACCACTACCTGGCCACGCACACGTCGCCGGGGGCAACAGTGGCTGAGACGCAAGAACTGCTGAACCAGCACAGAGAGTTCTGTGTATCCGCCAAGGTGAGCACACACACACACTGACAGACAGGATGCGATCAGTGAAACCGGCACTCACCTGTCTCTCCGCCTCACAGCACACGCAGGAAAAGGTCCACCTGCTTATCCAATTGGCTGAGAGCATGCTGGCTAAAGGCCATGGCCACCGCACAGAGCTCCGCCGCTGCGTTTCCACGGTGGATAAACGCTACCGCGACTTCACTGTCAGGATGGGACAGTACCGCCACCTGCTGGAGACGGCGCTGGGAGGGTGCTCGCAGGTAAGCAGCAAAAAGGCTGCACTTGAATGTGGAAATCTACTATTTGTATGTCCCCCTTCTGAGCGCGCTGTACGGTGTCCCCCTCAGGACAATAAGGACCTGGAGCTGGAGCTCATCCCCAACAGTCTGTCTGACTCCGACCCCGAGGTCAACCTGTCTGACCCCAGCCACCAGGTCAGCGACGAGAAGAGACGCTCCGCCCGCAAGAAAGAGTGAGTACCACGAGTACTACTGATACTGCAGTACTGAATGTACACGCTTTGGTAACGTGTGTGTGTGTGTGTGTGTGTGTGTGTGTGTGTGCTCTCAGGTACATCATGGCTGAGCTCCTTCAGACGGAGAGAGTCTACGTCAGAGATCTGCAGGAGTGTATCGAGGTACCGTAGTACTGTATTTTATACTATTTACCACACAGTATTAGCACTGTGTAATTCTTTTATGTAATGCAGTACTTCATGATACTGGACTGTGTATTAATATAAACAGCGCCCTCTGCTGACAGAACTACACATTTCAACCTGCTGCATTGACAATGAGCTAATTCATGCAGTGAGGTAGAACCCCTGTAGCACATTACAGCACTGTTAGTACACGGTACCATGAAGTATTACATCGTAGTAGGTACCTTTTTCTGACAGAAGTGCTTTTTCCAGACATACCTATGGGAGATGACAAGCGGCTCCGAGGACGTCCCTCCTGGACTCAACAACAAGGACGACATTGTGTTCGGAAACATCCAGGACATCTACGAGTTCCACAACAGGTACTGCGAACTATACTGCAACTATACTGCAAACTATACTGCAAACTTCTGACTATACTGCAAACTATACTGCAAACTATACTGCAAAAGGACATCTATGAACATATGAACAAGTTCTACAACCGGTTTTAAAATATAGATACTGTACTACTACAGTAAGTTCTACAGTTCTACAAAAGCAAACCTCTATAACACTGTACAGTATTCTGTGTAGTAACGCAGTACTTTATGTTTGGCAGTATTTTCCTGAAGGAGCTGGAGAACTACGAACAGCTTCCTGAGGATGTTGGACACTGCTTCGTTACCTGGGTAACCAGTTTGGTTTCATGTCTACCAGCTAAACACCGTAAATAACAAATACTGTGAGTAAAACTTGCTGTCTGTGTCTCAGGCTGATAAGTTCCACATGTACGTGACGTACTGCAGGAACAAACCGGACTCCAGTTTACTGATCCAGCAGCACGGCGCCGGCTTCTTCGAGGTGACAGTTTCCTTTGGTTCTAAATAAATAATCATTGGTTGTGTAACATGAAGCAGTGAATATCCAAATCAACACTTTTATTTTGAAGAACTGCGTCATGCAGCACAGTGAGTAACGGATATCTACGAGTACCACAATAGTTACTGCAAAATATACTGCAATAAGTACTGTACTAAGTAATAACCATGTAATAAGTACTGCAATATGTACTGTAATAAGTAATAAGTACTGCAATATGTGGGCGGGGCTGTACAGTGGAGGGGCGGGTTTATAATTTGTGCCTTTATCACGTTTTGTGTGCAGGAGGTCCAGAGGAGACACGGTCTAACCAACTCTATCTCCTCGGCTCTCATCAAACCGGTTCAGAGGATCACCAAATACCAGCTGCTGCTCAAGGTAGCACTAATGCTAACGAAGAGCTCAGACAGAGTTCGTTTAAACACCTGAAACCTGAACGAGTGTTTGTTCCTTCTGGCTGTTTGGAAAACCCCTCTGAGGGTTCCAGCTTTAGATCCAGAGTCTCATACGGAGCCGGGCCAGACCTGGTCTGTGTGCCCAGAATAACAAATGAAACACATTTTAAGTGTGAAATCTTTGATGTGAGTTGAGCTCAGCTGCAGCGGGAGCCTCAATGTTACGCACAATTAAACTCTTTGTTTTTATCTCAAACTTTTCTCAGAGTTTGTTGTTTTATGTTTTATTATTTTTTACCAATAAATAAAACTAATAAGACTTAATACTAGTTAACCGCTCAATTTCTGTTCACCATTATCCACCATTTTGTGCCAAAAGAAGAGATTTGTCAAAATGAAAGGAAATGTGTTTATGTACTAATTATTCATATATTTATTAACTTTCTTTGTTTTAATCTGAAATATTTGGATTTATAATGCGGATAATAACTATTAAAAAGCATGAATAGTTGTATTTATATACATACTGCATCAAATATACATATATAATATACTATATAACATTTTTATTAAAAACCTGCATTATAATATTTCCTTTTAAATAAACATTCAGTGAGTAATAAAGAATCATTGATTATATGTCTCTCAGTAACGGACTGATAAAGGTTTGTGTATTCGTAGGAGCTGCTGGCGTGCTGCGAGGAGGGGAAGGGCGAGATAAAAGAAGGCCTGGACGTGATGCTGAGCGTCCCGAAGAGAGCGAACGATGCTATGCACGTTAGCATGCTGGAAGGTAACAAACACAGATTATTTTAACACCACTGATGAAAAGTGTAAAGCGGTTAGATTTTACTGTGAAGCAGCTGAAGATCTTTCATCGTGCTCTTATTGTGGAGCACCCACACGGCTTTTAAGGAGCTCGATAATGTTTACTGTCTTTTATTGTGAAGCAGCTGAATGATGAGTGATGATGATGTTAAACCTGTGGTTGCTGTCCCCGTCAGGTCTGGACGAGGGTCTGGAGGTGCAGGGCGAGCTCCTCCTCCAGGACTCCTTCCTGGTTTGGGAGCCAAAGTCTCTGATCAGGAAGGGGCGGGACCGACACCTCTTCCTGTTCGAGCTGTCACTCATCTTCAGCAAGGAGATCAAAGACTCGTCCGGACGAACCAAATACCTGTACAAGAGCCGGCTGAGGGTAACACAGACGTGGACACGGAGGTTAATCTGAATAATAATGAAAGAGATGAAGTGTTAATGTTTGCTTTCTCTCTCAGACCTCAGAGCTCGGCGTCACGGAGCACATCGAGGGGGATCCCTGTAAGTTCGCTCTGTGGGTCGGACGAACGCCGACGTCCGACAACAAGACGGTCCTGAAGGTACGTCTGATGAGCGTTTACCCGCCGTGCAGGTGTTTGACGGCGTGCTGAGGCTCACCTGTCCTTCCTCACCTGTCCTTCCTGACTGTGCCTTCCTCAACTGTCCTTCCTCCACCCTGTCCTTCCTCACTGTCCTTCCTCACGTGTCCTTTCCTCACCTGTCCTTCCTCACTGTCCTTCCTCACCTGTCCTCCTCACCCCTGTTCTTCTCACCTTCCTCACGCTGTCCTTCCACGGCCCCCCCGCCGTCCTCCGTCTAATCACCTGTCGCTTCTCACCTGTCCTTCCTGACTGTCCTTCCCTCACTGTCCTTCCTCACCCGTCCTTCCCCTCCACCCCATCCTTCTCACCCGGTCCTTCCTCACCCGTCCTTCCTCACTGTCCCTTCCTCACCCTGATCGTTCCCTCACCCCGTCCTTGACCTCAAACCTGTCTTCTCACCTGTCCTTCCTGACTGTCGCTTCCCTCACTGTCTTCCCTCACTGTCCTTCTCCACCGTCTTCCTCCACCCGTCTTCCTCCCACCCTGTCCTTCCTCACTGGTCTTCCCCTCACCTGCCTTACCTCACCTGTCTTCCTCCCCCTGTCCTTCTCACCTTCCTCACTGTCCTTCCTGCTTTCCTTCCTCACTGTCCTTCCTCCACCTGTCTTCCTCACCTGTCCTTCTCACCTGTCCTTCCTCCCCACCTTACCTCACTTGTCTTCCATCACGTCCCTTCCTCAACTGTCCCTTCCCTCACCTTCCCTCACTGTCCTTCTCACCTGTCGCTTCCTCACTTGTTCCTTCACTTCCACCTGTCCTTCCTCAAACTGTCCTGTCCTCCAGCTGTCCTTCCTCACCCATCCTTCCTCACCCATGCCTTCCTCCACCATCCTTCTCCACACCGTCCTTCCCTCCACTGTCCTTCTCACCTGTCTTCCTCACCTGTCCTTCCTCACCTGTCCTTCCTCACTGTCCTCAGGCGTCGTCGCTGGAGCTGAAGCAGGAGTGGGTCCGCAGCATTCGACAGGTGATCCAGGAGAGGCGGGGCCACCTGCGGGGGGCGCTGAGGGAGCCCATCCCCCTCCCCAAGACGCCGAACCCCACCCTGGGTCGACAGCGCAGCATCAGCCGCAGGTCAGCGCAGTTAACACGACCTCTGACCTTTGAGCCTCTGTGTACCAAACTCCATTCAGAAATCACTCATTTTAAGGCCACTTGATAGATTAATACTGATTATTGTTTATTTCTGATCAATTCATCCACTTCAGTCAAAGTGAGCAGACACAATGAGCACCAATAAGCAACCTGAATGTCTGAACCTGAGGAGGAAACTATTTGCACCAGTGCAGATGGCTTTAATGGATCTTTATTTACTTTGTTAGAGCCCTTCAGCTGTGCAAATTCCCTTCATATATTATAACTGATTCATCTATTAAATACCACTAAGTTTGGGGAGAGCCTCTGAATGTGCACCTTAATATAAAATGTTTCTTTTAAGGTCCAATAAAGACATAACTTTAATGGTATTCTGTTAATTAATAGGTTGTTAACCCTTTAAAAAACATTTCATTATTGCAGAAAACCGATTGAAAACCTTTACTATGTCACATTTCATTAATTTAGCCAGAATATTGAGTAGAAATACTATAAATTGTCATTAATCTGCAGCTGAAACATATTTGTGAGTCTTTCTATAAACCGAACTCCTTTAATCTGATTATTAACGGAATTGTTGAATATTAATAATTAACGTGTAGATTAACAGAAAAGTCATTAAAACAGGGATGTTTCAAATATTAAGAAATATATTGTTTATGCTGTTAAAGAAAACGAATATTAAATATGTAGGATCCCTAATTATTATAATAATAATTATGAATTATTTTTCATAATCCAAATCCTAGTAGCATTTTATATCTCAACAACACTAAAGTAACAGGTGTGTGCCTCGCCGAATCTAATTGAATGTTTTGTTTAGAAGTTTTAAAGGCTCCAGTGTGTCACACTGAGGAGGGATCTATTGTCAGAAAGGTAATAACATATAATAATATTCATATATCTATACACATAATATAACTTCACTTAGTACGTTTCATTAGTGTATAATCAGCTGAATATGATGATCCGTTGGTTTACCAACTAGATCGCTGCAGCAGCTGTCCTTTGAAGACTAACTGCAGGAAAGGTGTGTAAAAACAGATGATTTGGATGATTATTATCAGATTATTTCCTGTCAAATAATTGATCAGATTATAGCTTTATTGATATTTTAATAGGCGACCCCTAGTGGTTGGCAGAGATAATTCAATGACACTGAAAAGTAAATGAGTCACATTGAAACCAGGAAACTGACAAACACTCTGTCTGTCTGTCTGTCTGTCTGTCTGTCTGTCTGTCTGTCTGTCCTGTCTGTCCTGTGCGTCAGGGAAGAACCAGCGAGGACGGCAGACAGTCTTGGGTGATGCCAGCAAGTCAGCCCGAACAACCGTCCCATCGGCCTCCCGAACATCGCAGAACACCGCCGAACGCCGACAAAAGGTGACACACACACCACACAACACCACCACACCACACACACACACACCCACCAGCTGAGGGGGTGTGTCAACACCAGTCTAATGACAAATCACCACTGGGCTACATCTGGCTGGGTGTGTGTGTGAGTGAGTGAGTGACTGAGTGTGTGTGTGAGGGAGTTTCCTCTGGCTTTCTTGTACTCACATTCTTCCTAGCAAACCTTCCACTAGTTTCTGCTCTCCTGACAAGGTACGTTTGATTTCTCTCTTTACCTGCTTGGTAGTTCTAGCTGAGGGTGGGGTCAGGTGACCCTCTGGACCCTCTGAACCACTGTGGTGCTGTTTGTATAGTAAATGTAGTTGAGAGCTGTAACCTGGAACGTTCTTACTCCTTTGGTTGTGGAAATTTTCTAAGAATTGGTTAAATGTTAAATTAAATTTAGGATCATTTTTTATTTAAATAATGTTTGAATATTAAATAAAGGTCTGTTTTCATTCACTATATCAGCGCCATATTGGTTACAGGGTACACGCTCTTTATCAATAAATCCTTTTCCCAGGAACTTTTCCCAGGACTTTTATCTTGAGAATCCAGGAACACCACAAGCCCGGTTAATGTAGGGCCCGATGCTACCCCAACATTTTTGTTCATTAGATTGATTTCCTTAGGTGTTTCCTTGACTGGAGAACCTGGAAAATGATTTCTTAAAAAGATAATACATTCA